GGGTCACAATGAAATATAGAGATACTATCATTTGATGTCTTTCGGATGCATATTGCAGAGATAAAAATTAATAATGATTTAAATATGATTATCCATATTTTCCGAATAATCCAATATCAATACGGCAATAAATAGAGGTTACTTATTGTGTGAATTTGGTTAACAAATTATGAAAATTAACGAATGATGAAAATGCAGGGTGATCTATGCGCATGAAAAAAATCATGGGATAAAATATGTCGCAAAAGTCATGCTCTAGAATTTTTATGATAATTGTTATCATCATTGGAGCTATAGAAACTCAGATAATAGCATATAAAACCGAATCTTGTGACCTCTGAGTTTCAATAAATTAAGACGCAGACGAAGGTGAATTTACGAGTTTCCAGCTTATTATCACTCATTCCGAGGTTGACCCCTTTTGTTTCCTAAAATGACTGGAGTACAAGTATTGTCACTAATATTTACATAAGAGCTTTTTTTTGTCGAAGTTAACTTGACATTTCGATGAGAATTTTGTTTCCTGAAAATTAAACGAGAAGAAGTGCCATTAACTCAATAATTATTCAACATTAACTCAACATTCAATCAACATCAACTCAAAATTACCTTGACATTACCTTAAAATCAAATTAACATCAACCAATATCAAATTGACATTAACTTCACATTTATCACTAAATTGCCAATACATTGACATTAATTCAACTTTCAATTGAAATTAACTTGATTTCAACTTTTCATCAACTTAACATTACGTCAACATTAACGACAATAACTCATGTTGAATCGACACTAACACTTAACTTACCATAATTCAGCATAATAATCATTCATTGGTACATCATAATCTATAGACCCTGTTACTGTGCGATTTTCGAATAATTCCACCCATGTGAGTTTTACTTTCGAACTTTCTAACTGTTATATGTTATCATAGTGAAACGGGTCACTTTCTCAATAACAAATCAATGTGTTTTGTGCTGTTTTCATAGGTGGTCGTAGGAAAAACTGTCTTTTGTCTCGCCTGATTGCGAGCCACGGCTAAAGCCTCGGCTATCAATTCGCAGAAATTATTATAATATGAAAATAAAATAAAATATCCGATACAAACCCCAAACAGCATTGCCGCTTGTCCACTTAGTACCCGAGTAGCCGGTAGATAAGACTATCATAATATGCTATTATCATATAAATGTAAATATAATGCACATTATCAGCATCGCAATAGACATGTAAAACTATTCACGACAACAATTTATGTTTAACACCTCACGTAAAATGCCCTGTCAATTTTTACTGGTGTCCTTATTGGGGATATTGTATACCAAATGGTACATTCATGGATATTTTTACATCAATTATCAAGGTGATGAAAATAATGCATGATAATTATGATGTTATATTCTCAGCTATTTTTGTATCGACTGTAGTGAACTGAAGTTCATTGTAATTGCCATGGACTAGCTCTCTGGTCATAAAAATTGATTGACTATAATATACTATAATAATAATAATAATAATAATAATAATAATAATAAAGGCTTTTATTGACAGGTACGAGTTTCTAACACTATGGAGCACAACTAATCAGTGGAACAAAAAGAAAAATAGAAAAAATTTAATTCATAGTTCAACCACCCTATGCTAGAATGAAAGCTACCTGTCAAATGGCAGGGTTCAAAAAGTGTCCTAAGACAAGTTTTGCTCTTCCACCCAACCAAGTATACATATTATAACATATACCTATTCACATATACACCTATATAATTGAGTAAGTATATCGTATACAATAACTATACGTGTACTTCTAATCGAATCAGTTTTCGAACTATGTAGCTATGAGTTATTCTAATCAACTATTATTAGATATCAATATCAAGAAGAAATCAACTTAACATGAATAATGAAAAAAAAAAAAAAAGAACTAACAATAATACTCATCACCTATCAACTTCCATACAAATTTACTTCGCGCATAAATCATCGAGTTTGCCATTAATAAGGTCTTCCTTAACTCGCTTCTTGAATGAAGATAGAGGTAAGTGTTTGTATTCTTCAGGAATCCTGTTGTATAGCCAGGGTAAGTAAAATGAATAAGATCCACGAAATAGAGATGTTCGGTACTTTGGAGGGCTGAGTTTCGATTTAAATCTCAAATTCAAATTATGTACATCGGTTCTATAAGCAATTTTATTATATAAGTATGGTGGTTTTTTTGATAATAAAATTTTATGAAAGAGCACTGCTGCGTGTAGGACACGCCTAGCGGACATACTTAACCACCCAATACTTTTCAGATGATGCGACACATGATCTCTTCTTCTTGCTCCTGTGATGAAGCGAATACAAGAATTTTGGAGTTTCTGTAGCCGATATTTATCTTCATTTAGAATCCCGGGACTATAAATAACATCGGCATAGTCAGCATGCGATAACACTAATGAATTGCATAAAGTGATTTTTATATTCCTGCTCAGAACCGTTCTGTTAGCATAGAGGATTTTGAGATTGCTGAATCCTTTTTTAATTATCGAAGAGATATGATTTTTATATTTCAAGGAATCATCTAAAATTAATCCTAGATTTTTACTAAATTTTTTAAAGGGCAGTGGGCTGCCTTCGATTTGTATTCTGTTTACAGGATTGACCCTTTTTCTAGCATGGTTTCGACAAAATAGTAAAGCTACTGATTTAGAAGGATTTATTGTGAGGCAATATTTCAGGGACGTAACGGATAGGGAATTCAGATCCTCGTTTATTTGCGTGTAGGCTTCTTCTATGTTATTTTCAGTAAAAGAATGATACATTTGCGTATCATCTGCATAAAAATGCACTGACGAGTATCTTAACGTTTTGTGAAATTGCGACGTGTATATTATGAATAGGAGTGGACCTAAAATTGACCCTTGAGGTACACCATTCGGGACTATAACATAATTAGATGACTTTTCCTTAATAATCACGCACTGTTGTCTTTCCGATAAGTAGCTTTGTATTAGAGTTGAAGCATTACGAGAAAATCCGAAATAATGTAGGATAGCAATAAGCAGTCTGTGGCTAATTCTGTCAAAGGCCTTAGAGTAATCCAATAAGGTCAAAATCACTAGTTTGTTGCTATCAATTGAAGTCTGAATGTCGTCTGTTACCTTCAGAAGAGAAGTTACACAACTGTGACCTTTGCGAAAGCCAGACTGAAAAGAAGGTAAACAGTTAGAATTACTTACATGTTCTCTGATTTGCAAATTCATAAGTTTTTCTAAAACCTTTGACAAGGCAGACAAAATGCTTATTGGGCGGAGATCTGAAATTTCTTCAGGAGGGTGTTTTTTAGCTAAGGGAAGAACTCGAGATTTCTTCCATATTGTAGGAAATTCACCGGATTGAAGACAATGATTGAATATATGTGAGAGATAAGGAATGATGAATGGACAACAGGATAAAATCATCTTTATACTGATACCATCGGCACCGACTGCATTAGATTTAATTTCAAGTATATGCTTATAAACTTCTTCATCATTAGTGAGCCTGAAAGAAAAATCGGACACATGTTCGAACTTGTTTTGCGAAAAGTATTCTAGTGTATCACTATCAGGATCTGAACTAGATCTCGAAACATTTACAAAAAAGTCATTTATTAGATCAGCATCATTCATATGATCAGGTATCATATTTTCATCTTTTTGTCTTATGCCAAGGTCACGTGCAATCTTCCATAAATTATTCTTATTTATTCTCACCTCATGTTCCATGTAAGCTTTTTGTTCTAACTTCAAGGTTCGGTTAGTTAAGTTTCTTAATTCCTTATAGTACGCATAGTGGTGAGGAAGATTTGTTCTTCTGAATCTCGTGAGAGCTTTATCTCGCAGAGACATTAGCAGCCTTAGATTATCAGTCAACCAGGGTGCTACTTTTTTTGTGATTCTTGCAGTTTTCAGCGGCGCATGTGTATCAAAAATTTGTAAGATGCCATCACAGAGAATTTGAACTTTTTGATTGACGTCATTGGTTTGAAATAACTGATTGAATTCTATGTTGAGTAGGTCCAAATGAAAAGCTTCACTGTTGAAATTTTTGAAACTTCTGAATGTACGCAGAAATGGTACAAATTTTACTTTCTTCATTGAGATTTCACAAGAAACAAGTAAATGATCACTGAAGGTGGAACAATCCACAACGTTAGTGTTATGGCATTTCAAATTATTCGAGCATATTATCAAATCTAATAATTTGATACTCGATGGTCCAAATCGAGTGGGTTTACTCACTACCTGTTGAAGTTCATATGTTTCGAGAATGTTATTCAAGTGTATGCAAGGTTTATTAGAAGGATCCAAAAAATCAATGTTGATGTCGCCTGTGCAAATTAAATTTTCAAATTGAGGTGTTAAAATTGAGAAAGAATTATCTAACTCTGTAATATATTCATTCAACGGAAAGTTTGGTGGTCTATATGTGACTCCAACTGCATATTTCTGCGCGTTTTGACTGAAGCTGATCCAGAGTTGTTCGGTGTTGTGAATACCTAGGCTAGTTAACATTTTAGCTTTGAAGTTTTGCTTTATATAAATTGCCAAACCTCCCCCACGACCTATAGATCTATCTCGTCTAAATAATGCATATCCTGAAAGAATAATACTTGCATTAACGATATCCTTATTTAACCATGTTTCTGTCACTGTTATACAATCGAATTTTTGATACACTGCTCTCCTAAATTCAAGAAAAGAGCTGGTAAGTGACCTGGTATTTATATGGCATACACTGAAGTTATACATAACAGGTTGAGGTGAATCAGAAGAGAAAGCAAAAAAATGTATAGAAAAATATATGAATGAATGAATGAATGAATGAAGTAGTACCTAGAATTATTGTTGACGAATTCAAGAATTAACTATATAAAAAGGAAAATTCATGTATGTTTATAATACAGAATCATGAAAAATTATATTACATAAAGATGCGGTTACTAAAACAAAACAAAAAACTGACATACATTATTGCTTCCTCTGTTTTTCTGAAGAGCGTTCTCGGAGCTTTCTAGCACTTTGCTCTTCTGGACTTCCTTCAGGTTTCCTTTTTTTATCTACGGTGTCTTGAGTCAATGTTTTAGGTGTTCCGCTGAATTGAATGATGGTTGCTGTATTTGATACTTCGGTATCGTCAGGTTGCCTACCATCCAGGGAAGGAATACTTTTCAGATTATTTATTAGGTCTTCGTAACTGTAGGTCTCTTTGTTGATAATAATTGTATCGTTCCTAATAATAGCAGTATGCCCTTTCTGTCTAGCGTCCAATAGGTGTCTTCGAAGAAATTTATGTTTTTTATAGTCTTCTGTTGTGTAATCAATACAAAAAGACACTCCGATTTTTTTTAATTCTTGTCCTTCTTTCCTGCACTGTCTCAAAATATCCTCTTTGAGCTGGAAGCTGATGAGCTCTAGGAGTATGGATCTGGATTTTCCTTCAATTTTCTTCCCAATTCTATGTAAATTGCGGAAGTTAGCTTGCGTACAGTTTATTTTCAGAACAACATTTATGATTCGCACGATTTCGTTTGCGATGTCATCAATATCTTCTCCCACACCATATACAATGAGGTTGTACTTCTTATTCTGTCTTTCTACTGCATGAATTCTGTTCTTTAGCTCCTGGTTCTCTTTCTGGAGATTTGAATTTTGTGATTTCAAGTCTTCGATTTCTTTAGAAAATTCCTGTCTCAAATCACTTATTTCCTTTTGTATCTTCTTATTGGATTCGGCAACTTCCTTTAGTAATTCATATATTTCGTTGTTGGTTATAGGCATTTTCTTGTTGATAATAATTTCGGCTTAGTGTTCCTGTACTATTTCTATGTTTATATTGCCGTTTTTTATATCGTCTCGTCTCCGGCACTTCTACGTTTCGATTGTATATTATGGAATATTTAACTGTTACTATGAAGGATTGAGTACTCACATAGGTGTAATGTCTCTTCAATAACTTTTAGGAAATTTTACAACATATTTGTTGCAGAATAATCCACTATTTTAGCACTTTTCATGCGGAGCACTCAATCTGGCGTATTCACAGTAATAGCACAGTGGAATATATAATATATTATCGCAGTAAGCTTTTTGAAAGAACAGAACAATAATCTCTGGAGAGGCAAAATAATTCAATGTGAAATCATATAAATTTCAATTTTGTCACATGAAAAAAGGGTGAAGGATAGCAGTCACCCTTCAAAAATTCGAGGGGTACTTTCTTCGTTTCTCTCGAAGCTGATTTTTTCTATTTTATAGTAATGTGAAATCACTCAGTTTTTCATGATCTGATATTTTCTTCCAGTGTGGTGCGATGACAAACTCACTCCTAGTTTTTTTTATGTTCTAGTTCCCACGAAAAGGGATATCCTGTAATGTTCAGAGAACATCGTGAGAAACAAGGGAAATAAGGTAGGAATTGGTGTTCTTCTTTAATTTCTGAGGTAATATGCCTCGGGGAACACCTCCCTTGGCAATGTGTTCCAGTGCACCGCTGTTCGTTGAATGAACGTGTCTTTGGAAAGAGATGTTCTGCAGGTCTCCAATGTGACCACGAAGGGGTGCAAAGCCTCAGCTTGACGGGTTAATCTCGCGGGGACTACCAAGGGTGGAACAATTGTTGATATTTCAGAAGAGCATCGTCCATGAAAATATCTATAAAAAGAGCCAGCTCGCCAACTCTTCTACGGTGTTCCAGAGAAGTGAGTGGGTTTGTGAGCGAGGCATCACCAACGAGACGAATTGCCTTTGTTTGGACAGAATCCAACAGTTTCAGGGTATGTTTGGGTGCTGCACTCCAAATATCAATCAATCAATCAACTTTATTATTCCCAAGAAACAACATTTGTTTATAGCAGGGAACATAGTGAATACATAAATATATTTGAAAAAATAAAATAAAGAAGACAGTGAAATAAGACTCACAGTCAAAAAGAATCTTTTTTTTTTCAAGTTCAAATGAATATGATCCTCAATTGACTCAGCTGTTAGGTACACAATTGAAAACTATAGTAGTTGTACAAGAAAACCATAAAAATGAGATAAGATGTCAATATTACAGGAGTAGATGTTTCTTGAATTCTCTTTTAAATTTTTCAATCCTATTAATCAGCTTCAAGTTATTTGGTAGTGAATTGTATTGTATCATTCCATTGTGATAGATGGATTTTTTACCAATATCTGATTTAATTTTCTTGACAGAAAAATGATCTGCTTGTCTGGTTGTATGGTTGTGGTGATTACTATTGACTTGGAAAACCAAATTTGAATGCTTTTGACAATGTTTAACTGAATGAATGAACGACATTAATTTGAATTCATATAAGGAATCTATATCTAATAATTCTCTTCTTCTGTAAAGGTTCATAGTAGGTTCCGAATAATTTAGTCTGTATATACATTTGATAATTTTATTTTGAAGAGTTTTGAGAGGCTTTATAATTGATAGTTTTGTTAAACCCCATACAGAAATCAAATATTCAAGTTTAGAATAGATCAAAGAGAAGTATATAGATTTGAGACATTTTATAGGAACTTGGTTCCGTACCCTAAAAAGTATACCTATTATTGGAGATATTTTTTTCCTAAGTATTTCAATATGTTTTGACCATGACAAATGTTCATCTATGTACAGACCAAGAAACTTGATATAATTTGAATATTTGATGACTTCATTATTACATGCAATTGGAAATTTGTACTCATTATATCTTGATTTTTTTGAAATTATCATAAATGCTGATTTACTATAATTTATACTCAATTTATAACATGATAACCATGATAATAATATTTTCAAATCACTTGAAATATCATCCCTAATTTGTTTTGCTGAACCTGCTGAATAGATTGAGGTTGTGTCATCGGCAAACATATAAATTTTACCTTTCAACTTCAAATTTGCAATAGAGTTGATATAAATAAGAAATAGAATAGGGCCCAATACTGATCCTTGCGGTACACCGCATACTATTTCATATAGAAACAGTATTTCAGGACAGGTCGGATCTGTGCCTTATAGATCATGAGCAGCTGACTGGAAGTGGAATAGCTCATGGCCCGAAACAGAAAACCAAGTTTTTGGGATGCACTTTAAGCAATTGATCTCACGTGATTTTTCCAAGAAAAGTTATTGCTCTTAGTAATACCAAGCATCGAAATGTCTCCAAAGGTATGGTTACTCCTGACAAGCTCATGTCCGGCACAGTGAGATCGGCTTTTCTAGAGAAAAGGCATGCTTTTCTTTTGTTTGCATTGAAATCTACCAGGTCAGTGGATCCCCATTCGAGAATTATTGTTATCAAGTCCATATTTATGTTGTCAACATTTCTTCCTCGCACCAGCATTTATGATAAGAGAGTCAGATGAAACTCCGTCGACCACTTCATGGAGAGACCTGTTTGAGAGAAAACTAGCTAGCAGAGAACCAAATTTTCTTTCATATGCAATCTACAGATTTTCATTCATCACACAGGACAAATTATTGACCATATATATACCAGCAGGCAATAGGACTCTTATCGGCAGTACCAAATCCTCAAGATATCAGCATATATCAGTATCTGTGTGATGTGGTATGTATGAAAAATATTAATATCAATTACTTCAACTCACACTTGAGAAACATGATCATTGATTCAAAACTGATTCCCAATATTTCTATGTCTGATATCCAGAATTATCTTCAAACTCAAATTAAATTCGAATTGAATTTTGACAGATTGACAATTTCAGGCACTTTGATGATCATATTCCATAAAAATGCTACTGATGAAATATTATTAGGTAAATTGAGTAGCACACACTTCATACCCGAAAGTCAGTGGGGTTCAATTTCGTCTTTTTTCTATATGGTGGGACAGGCTTCTTGTATCCGCTATGAGTATAGTGATATTTTTTTGGCTATTAGGATGTTCCAATGAAATATACTAGGCAGCTTGGTTCCGGACGAAACGGGCGTTTATGAAGATAATGCAGTGGTATCAATAATGACATTGAAATTCCTTAGAACGGGTTATGATTTTGATTTCAGAAAGGTATACCATCTCACATTAAAAAACTGACAGGGGTATAATTCGCACGCCCCAATCACTCTTTATTTTCTAATCTGGTTCATTTTTGCAAAGAAAACTGCTACTCCAGTAAACACACTTGTGATATTTGCATACATAATATATGCCGTCAATTTCATGTTACGAATGTGCCATAACTCAGTTCCCCCAAAATTGGCATTATTGAACTGTAAATTGTGGATAAAAAACTGTAATACTGAGACCAAACATTTTTTTTTCTATTGCTTCAAATATTAATCGAACTCTCTTATGGTTCATAGTCTCTATGATCGGATATTATCACGAAATTGCAACATTTCTGGAAGAGTCATGAGTGTTTTATTGTATTTATTACCTAATATAAAATTTGCTGTTGAATTTCCCCACGCAGATACCAGTTGAGGGAATTGATCGAAGCATCGTATGGTCACTAGTAATATCACAAGAGAGTGAGAATAAATTGAGAATATTTGGACAGATTTTCGAGAACTTGTTGCCAGGCAATAGACACGAGAGCCCAAAGTGCTCGAGTGGCTATTGCCGAATGGCAACAAGTTCGAAAACAATCTGGAGAAATATTCTCTAATTTTTCGATCTCCCGTGTGGTATTTGATAGATTATTTTTTGATTCTTTTAGGAAAACCTCACGTCAAAAGCATAATTTTATTTCAATAGTCAACAGATGAGGACAACACAGAATAAAATAAAAAAAATCAGCTATTTACATTGAAATTTTGGACATGAAAAATACAAATATTATAAATATTGTGCCCTTGAGTGGAGGAGTCTGCAACATTGGTATGTTTTGTTGTGTTAGAGGTAGCTATGCGTTCTCCACTTCCTCTTAAATCTTCAATCAAATTTGAATAATGTTCTTTATCCAACTGTAAGTAAGGCTTCAGTGAATCAGATGAACTGTGGCCCGTAATTTTCATAATCTCTTGCTCATCAATTCCTGATTTGGCGAGATGAGACACTGCAGTTGAACGCACAGAATGGTTAGTAACTTTGATTTTCTCAATATCTAGTCCTATCATCTCTGCAGATTCCTTCGTCCACTTCGACATACTATTCACCCCAATCGGCATATTCTTGTACCATCCTGTAGAATATGGCTTATCCCAAGCAATGTTCACTGTTAAAAAGAGCCTATCAGTCTTGATATTCGTATTCCGCTTACTTAATAATTTCTTGAGCAATCGAACAGGACAGATATCAAAGTTTTTGATATTTGGTATCAACCATTTACTATTGGCACATCTTTCTGCTCCACCTTGTGCAGTTTTGGAGAATATCGGATTATACTCCATTCGCCCAGTAGCCAAACCCACATTGTCTGTTTCTTCTTTAACCCATTAGTGCATAATGTGTCTTATAATGGACGCTCCTTGTCTAATTTTTTTTGACGTCAATCATGCAGGAATTGAATGTTTCATGCGCCAGAACTATAAGTGTAGTTCAACAACAAACAGCTATCGCTTCTATTTGATGAATTTGTATCTCGACAATATTCTGCACGTGATCAAATGGATAACAATTTGTATTGCACCCGACAAGTAGGGTAAGTATTTATTATGAAGGAGTATAATGAATTTCAGAATTTCCTATCCCTCAAGATCTCATTATATGCAAGTGTTTATAAACCTATAAGGTAATTCGAATAGTTATTTTTTTTGTAAGACACTCAAAATATTGCTTTTGTGTTGTGTCCATTATAATGGACTCTATGCA